CGGCTGGCGTTACGTCGCCACTACGCCGCCACTTCGCCGTAGACGAACCAAGGAAGCGGTAGAACGAAATTCATGCTTTCGCATTCACAACTCGTAAGAAGTGCTTAGGTGTCCTCGGACTTTTTCAGTCGCGCACCAGTCACCTAGCTGTGTTTGGAGATTTCTGTTTTTCCTTTGTTCCCCTCCTCCAGGGATTATTATCATTATTCTTGTCCGGCCCGCTGGTACCTTTGCATTATTTGCAACATCATCATAACCTTAAAATGCAAGCCGTTCACCGTTGTTGGTGTTAGACTGGTGGCAGCTGTTAAAACTGGTTTGCTCTACTGACGTCTGACTCCTGATTAGCTCAGTCGATAGGGCGCTCCACTGGAAATGGAGATGACCCAGGTTCAATACCAGGACCAGGCGGATTTTTTTCAGTCGCGCACCAGTCACCTAGCTGTGTTTGGAGATTTGTGTTTTTCCTTTGTCCCCTTTTTCCAGGGATTATTATCGTTATTCTTGTTTAGCTCGCTTGCACCTTTGCTATAATTGCATTAGAATCATATTAATGTGAGCTCGTTCTGAACAAGTGCTCTTGAAATCGCCCTCAAATATGGCGTCCAGAGAATACCTTGTATAACTAGGGCATTTTTAAGTAGCCACGGTTGTCTTGATAAACTGACGCCGGAAGTGCTTTCGGTGCCTGGCCCTTTTGGCTCGTATTCAGAACCATAGCGAAGCCATGCCAGAACACTCTGTCAGGTGTATTTTGGACGGCTCGGGCCGTAAAAAGGCACCTGATAGCGTGTTTTGATTACTATTTTTAGAGAAGAGTATGTGACGAAACTATCATTATATCCTGTAGCTAGGGCTGTATGCTGCAGGTCCGAAGGTTATTCTTTTGGTTGGCATATGGGAACAACAAATTTGATTAGCTAATTATTGGCGTTCGTGACGTTATATTCATAAGCTACTCTTGAAAGCTTTGTGATATTTAAATGAAGGAAAACTCACCTACTTGCTTTGCATTTAAAGCGGTTTCGATACGAGTATCAGTCAAAATAATGTAAGAAGGTGCCAAAGAGCAAGAACTGATTTTTGTTGGCTCTAAAAAATAAATGTGGAGACTTACCTTTCTTGCTGGTATAATCTTGTCGATGACATAGATAGAAAAGAGCTTTAAACACATTTCGTAGCGAACACACCAGCTATTCCCCCTAAAGGTGAGACGTCATGTCGAGTTCTGTATCTTAATAACAATTCACTCGAGTTGCAGCACCAGTGCGTTTAATGCACAAATATTAAATGTACGTTTGTGCGCTAGGTCTTAGTGCAAGAACACGACTACATCACTGCGTTACAATATCAAAGTTCTGAACAACTTCGAGCCAAAATAACTAGTCACCAAGGTTTGTACAACAGCATTTTTATTTACACACGCCAAAGCCGGCGGAGGCCGCTGTGGCATTCATATGTCCCTCTGCAGTAGAACATACCGCCTCTGCTCCCGTTCGCCGACTTCGAATCTCTGATCACATATGTAAAGTATCCTCCCAACAAAGCATTTCAAACATTTGCTTTTTCTATCTCTAAATGGCACAATGATCTTTTTTTTACAACGTATACTGGAACAGGATGTCATTGGAGGAACAAGGTCACGATTTCCAAACTACTTGAATCTATTGAGCGATGTTATATCTTGCATGCACTTTCTCTCAGACGCTCGATGGCAAAACACGCGAACAAAGAACATTCAGTTTCTACTAAGAATGTTTTTTTTCCAGAGCAGGACGAAACCTTTGAGTGGTGCTTGTGACATTTGCAAGGAGGTATGTGCAATGGCAACTTTGAGGGAAAATTGCTACAACATGCTTCCTTCTGGCGAAGTAGGTTTTCCTGCAGGAAAAGTTTGGGGTGATACCAAAATATATCTTGGTTCGGATATGTTTACTGTATCACTGTTTGTGGTGAAAAAGTGGTAAATACAGTTGCACAATTTCCAGTAGGCAAACGAAGAGCTGAACAAAATGTACATGAAAAATTTGGAAATAAATTGGTTATAACTTTTGATTTGCTTCTCCTGAACGACTACTATGTGCTAAAGTAAAGCAAATAATGGCTTCGAATGCACTGACAAAATAAATAAATCAGGGCCTTTCGTTAGGTTTCCATTTAATTACTTTGTTTTATAAGTTGTTGGACTTAAAAATACATATTAGTGAAAACAATAGATAAAATTTCATCATGCCTAAGGCTAACACGATATCCGTTTCAAGCTTATCAAATTGCAAATATCACATGAAATTGCAAATGTGTATTGTAACCGAAGCCACACGAAACTAATTTTGTAAGTTACGTTACAGAATAATGCAGCTTATGAATGTAGCCACTAATGTTTATGACATCATAGCATGTTGATATGTAGACTCCGCTAAATATATGTATGCATTCTGATAATATTCACGGCAATAAAATATTGTCCTCACCCGTTAAACCTCATTTTTGACTGAAATAAGCAGTTCGGGACGTTATACATAGGTTCAGTTGAGTACTCTGGGTTTAACTGTTATTGTATATCAGCATGTGTTGGTAGATATGTGCACGACTAACCTGTGGAATGAATGCTGCTCTCCCACTCAATCCAAACACTGTTTATCCAGTGGAATCCCTGAGAAAACGCGCATTTAAAATTTAACAGTCAGTCACTGTTATAACTTTATAAGTTAATTGTTACATAAATTCGGACAAGAAAGTTTTCTCATATACCCTGGTACATTTGAAAACGCGCTTTCTCCGAGTGGTGTAAAGTAATACTCCTAGAAAGGTCACATATACTCGTGAAATGTCCATCAAAATTCTGAAAAAGTGATGCAGCAAATATGAGGATGTATTTATAGTGATCTGAACTAGATTTCGCTTCACTAAACTGAATGTTGGTTTAATTTGTTTGAAATTTTTTTTAAAAATATTATTCCTTCCAAAAAGAGTTTCATCCGTTGTTAACTGAACATTTTAGGCTATTCTACTTCGCGCTAAGACCAAAGCCTGACGACATAAAACGTACCTAAGCGCAATTTTATGGGTACGCCTTTTACCAAATCGTTTCTCAGAGCGAAGTTTATGATAATAGGAAGATGCGTGATTGCTTAGATTTTTTATAGGGATGCGCATTAAGGTTAAATTGCTTTTAGTAGCACGTCAGATGTTGCTATGAAGTGTTCTCTTCTCTTGTGACCTATCAAAGAGAAGTTTAGAAATATCACATGATACCATGCAGTTTAATCATTAGCGTTATTTTTGATCACAACACTTCTAAAGCGGCCATAAATTACGCCAGTGTAAAGTGTAGTGGGGAAAAGCTTGGGGCGTAACGGAATTCAATACTGTTCATTCGTACACTACATATAAATCACAAAGCGTAAGACTGAAGCCTTCTTCGTATGAAAGAATTCGTCCATCTCATATGGGGCAATAATAGCATATCAACATGTGTGATAAACAGTCAAGTTATAACCAGATCAAGCGAGTTCAGAGGTGTAGATAAGTAAACCAAAACTGCGGTCTCAAGAATATACTGTGGTTAGAGTTATGGCGGCTGCCGAGAAATATCACATAGTAAAGAGGTTCCAAAGTTTAGATACAAAAGCAAAAATGATTCAACATCACTACATTTATTGTTTTCCGGACCAGCATTGGTCAGAAATCGTAGATCTCCTTTTTATTCGCGTTTCCAGATAGCCAACGCGTTTTTTGCCGCATTCGACTGATGTGATCTGAAGAAATTCAGCAAAACCATTTCTTATGAAACGAACGTCATCCAAGTTTCTTCATACTCTCGATCGCGCATGTGACAATGGTTATACTTAAATATTTAAATGAATGAACGAGAGAGTATGTTGGTAAATGCAGCGTGAACGGGAAAAATAAACACGTAGGGGCAAGGGAGCTGTACCTGTATGTCCTTCACCCTCACGTGCTTCTTAGTTCTGTTCACATAAATCGAAGCCAACCTGTTAATGGGATCATTCCAACTCAGATTGAAATGAGACGTCACCCGCGTTGTTTGCAGTTGAAAGTAATCAGCTTAAAAAGCCGCTAATATATATTTAAAGAAAAAAAAAAAGTGAACGCTTCTTTTTTACTCGAAAGATTTAGGGCCATATCACAGCTTTTATGAAGTAAAACAATGTCCATTCTGGATTTATAAATTTTCCTAAGGTAATGGGCCTTGTGGGCGTCATCAGGTTTGACAATATCAGCCGATTAAAATCAGAAAAAAAATGAGTACCACATTTTTGGAATTTCTGACTGTAGGTCACGCCAAATCTATGGCCGTTTGCCCGAAAGGTGGATGATTGTCACGTTCAGAAAGAATGCCAGTGAAACACTTTCTCGCTTTTCTTGACAGCTTCACGTTTTGGCCACGAGATGCCCTGCTTGTTTTATGGCGTTAAAATCCGTCAGTGCGATAAAGACGCTTCCTCCCACATATTTCGTCTGGTTGCTTTCTGCGTAATTGTTACCACTAAAAGCACGCTGGTTTTCCCTGAGTTACGTTCCAACTTTTACACAATCGTATTTTTTGGCCATCTGTTGCCACTGTAGATTTTTGTCTGAAAACTAAAATGTGAAAGTAGTAGGTGCATCTTTTCGTTCGTGACCGAAACAAAAATCCAGAGTACAAATAAGCTGAATTCAATGTTAATCATTTCTGAACGTAGACACTTGCGTCGTCTCTATATACAAAAAAAAAAGTAACATCAGCAATATTTAAAGTGGCCCCTTTTGTGAAACTAAAGCAGGTGCCAAAATACAGAAGAAACGCTGTACAAAGAAAGATGTCGAGCGGCAGCACACTCCAAATCACATACAGCCGTTCTCGCTGTCGTTGTAGCGCACCGTGTCGTCAAATGGGTTATACCTTTCCGACACTTTCAGGCCGCCAGCGACCTTTTTTTTTTTTTTACCCTTCTTTTTCTTTTAAGCAAACGTTCAGGCTCCGGAAGGGTCACGATGCCATGGACACAAAGAAGACATGTTTTGTGGAGGGTGACATGTCATAAAAATGGTAGCTTTGGCCTTTCGCACTCCGTTCTAACTCGCTCGTGAGCAAACACACGCTTGCATGGAAACTCCGCGGACGATTGGTCATCACTCGGGTTACACAACACGTTTTTTGTTTTTGTGTGCGATCTCCGCTTCGTTCACAGCATGGTCTGCTGAAGATGGTTGGGCGAGGCGGACGGACTTCTGCCATCAGAAGCTCGCCTCGGAAGGAACTGGAAAGGAAACGGCTCCATTGTAAGCCTAATATACTTTAGTGGGTAATTGAAAAGCATCCGCACTCACCGGTAGGCTCATTAAAGTTTGTTTAAGCTCAACAGGAAAATTTGTGGGAAAATAAAAATAAAAAAAGCGAACTAGTGAGAAAATCAGCGCTTCCTATTTTTATTGCTGTTTGTGAATAGCGAATTCCTTGGGAGGGCATGTCGCAGCATTTAAGTTGCACAGAACAACGCAGCCTGCCTAAATGTTCTACAAAAGGCTGACTAAAGCAGTGACGTTGTGTCTAACTACTTGTCTCAGTATTAAAAATAATTATCCACAACAAAGTATAGGTTAGCCACTTTTTGACAGAAGCAATGACATAGCACAGCACATATTAAAAGCACGTTGGGAACATCCCAGAATGTCCAATCTACGCGTCACTTGAAAATTTGGGAGATTAACATATACATGACTGCAAGATGAGGTAGAATAAGGAATAATGCATTCAAGCTGCCAAAGGACATGATATTTTCATACGTTTTACGCAAGATTGGTAAAAAGCAGGATCAGAATCAAGGGCGCGTTCGATGCTTGCACTAGTAGGCAGAGGTGGGGGTATAAGCGCTTTTGAAAAATGCGCTGTAGTAAGCGGCCATCTTCTCATGCTCGTCGCAGCATGCAAAACATGCAAAAGGTTTGCATTTCGTCTTGGGGTGCTGGTGGGAGTGATGTCCATGTGTTTGGAATTGTTTACAAAAATGCCAGTTTCACGTTTAATTCTTTATTGCTTTTTTTGGAATGGAGTAACTCAATTACATGAGACACATCAATGGCCACATAACAATAAATGTGCTACAATGACCGATTGTTTTTGTTCTTCGTAACCCATGATTTCAAATGAACTTTTCCATTCGGTCGTATAAAAATATACACAATTGACTGTAGTTGTTTTTGTTACTTTTCCCCAGTAAGATACTTCATGCTCCTGCGGCGTCGTCAAAGCCAGAAAAAAAGCACGCCACTTTGTCTTGAAATACACTGTATGGAAGTATTCACAGGTCACTCCTAGAAGCACTACATAAGTTGGCACAATATTCTGCAGTAATGCAGGTTCGACGATCACAGTTTATACATTTGAGTCTATCAAAACTGTTCTTTTACACCCTGTGGTTGTCAGTCGTAAGTAGAACGCGCACACACACAGATACGCACGAATAAAAAGCACAAAGGAGTTTCGATCACAGCAGCAGCCAGAAGCTCGTGAATGAGTCAATCCATCGGACAGACAGCCGTGTTTGGTCGAGCTGTTCGTCGAACGGATACTCAATGGATACGTATGTTACAGCGGCTCACTTGTACAAGGAGGGGTGTCTTGCACTCAGGATGGGGATAGAGAAGTGAGGGGGAGGCAGGGGAAAGGACACTGCAAGAGGAAGGAGTGCCGGTGCGATGAGAGGTAAGTCATAGAACGCATGCCGGTCATCCGGGACCCTACGCTGGTCATGCCCGCGAGACTTCATGACTTCATAAACCACACAGTCACCTCAGCAACTAGCACACTCTACAGACGTTGTTTGTTCAAAAAGTCCATTGTCAATAAAGCTCAAGAGAGGACGTAACGAACTACATGTATCGCGACAGTTTTTTTCTTTCGATAGCAAACAAGAGGAATGGTGCAAGGTTATTTGTCAAAGTGCACTACTGATAAAAAAAAAAAAGTCATTCTGTTTTGTGTGCAGGAGGGGTAGGTAGGGGTATGACCCCTTAGGCACCCCCACAAAAAAAGAAAAAAAAAACATGGTTCCTAAAAAAAAAGAAATGCTAACTGACGCAAGCTTGCCCATGAGTTTTGTGCGTGGTCAGGGGAGTGTATGATGGGAAGGAATGCATCACATGGGAGCTGCTTTCGTAGGCGCCATAAAGATTAGCAGTCCAGCCAAGCGCACACTGCGTATAGCGATTTGGTGTTTTGAGACGATCGCAGATAGGAATTCTTGCCGAGATAAAAATCATTGATGCGTATCTCAGCTGGTCCGCTAGATGCACAATACCGTATGTACAATTACTAGAGACTACCAGACGCTACAGCGACACCGACATTGGTCTACACTCTACAGGTGGGTGCCAGTCACGAAGGTCAGTTTCGCTGGGAGAGCGTTAGACAGTATTCGACCGCGGCGCCGCTGGACAGAGATGTTGAATTGTCGCTAGCTCTGGTGACCCTGCTCATGCAATAGAGAGCGTTCGGGAACTATGTTCCAGTGGCCGCGGGCTCCCAGGTACAGGCAAGCAATCACTGTCACAACTTGCAGTGTTTTTGTCTTAAATAACAGTCACACACTTATACTTCTGTGGCGCTTTCCTAAAGCGACTTACGCTTATGCTGGTGTTCGCATAAGACATCCGGCGACCCTCACTTCTAACACACGGCGTCTGAGAGAGGGTTTTTCGCAGTACACCAAGCACCTGGAAAGGAAAAATATTTTTTATTAATTGCTTGAAAGTTGAGGCTTGCTGAATCAAGCACAGTCCTAATTTATGATTAGGGTGGCATAGTTATGTTATAGTTATTATTAGGGTGAGGTAGTTATCAGCAGCCTAAGCTACGTGCGTTGTAAATACGGTAGTTAAGTTCTGTTGTGGGTATCAATGCGGTTAGTTGCAAACATATTGGTGACGATTGAACACTTCACATAGACAATGCACTGTTTTACAAATTACATAAGAATTACTTCTTCATGAAAAACATATGCAAAGATTGGTTGCATGAAACAAAACCTATAATATACTGTTTAACAATGTAATGTATGCGTTCGCTTAGTTTGTTGTTTTGTGGGAAATTGCCTTTAAATTTCAGAGTGAAAAATATTTCCAGTAATTTGTATTTTTTGACAATCATAAATTCCAGTCCCTAACGGGATCAAAAGTTATTATTAAAAGTTTATATAGTAAACACATCAATTATTAATAGTACATTATTTGATGTATTATTAAAACTTGTTTGCATACGTCCAGAATATGATTGGTACTACCTCCTTGTATCTGCAAAACAATTGTACATCATTGCCAGCCAAGAAATAAAAATATGGTGCTCAAGGCCAAGGAGATAATTTTTGTGACAAATTGCGAATTTGTTTTTATGTAATCTACACAAATTTGGGAGTATTCATTTGATCTTCGAGCCGGCCTATTTTAGAGTGCACGTAAGAGCCGGGTACTTACCTCTCCATTAAAGAAGCAAAACAAAAGTGCGACACATAACCCCTGAAAAAAAAGAAAAAAAAAGGACACATGTAATTAGAAGAAAAAAAAATTGCTCTCCAAAGTCCCTTTCGAAAACTTTACAAGCTTCCTACAAACGTCTTAAGCTGCTACTGAATTTAAAGCAAGCTTTGTAAGCAATCTTTCTAGGAATCTCTTATTTAGAGTATATTCGGATGCACCAGATGCGCGCGGGCCTTTCTAGTTTAAAATGGCAATGTTTTATGCCTTGAAAGGGCAAAAATTATGACATGGGCTGGAATTCAGTAATACACAAGAAAGGCTGTCTGAGGCAACTTAAAAACCGTGATTCGGGGCTTTTTTGGCGACCTTTTCCGCTCGTAATAATCAGGGCACCTGGCTGGGGTAAAGTCAGTTTGTTTAATATTTTCAGGATTCCAGATGTGTGAAAACCAATTAACATGCGAAAGCAACGCTAACGCCCGAGAAGTTTTTTGCGTGACCTTCAGGCGGCGACCATTTCTATTTGAGCAAGAACTTCTGTTGCTGTTTTGGTAGCTCTTTGGGGTCCAATACAGGAACATATGCAAATTCTGTAGGTCTAAATAACCTAAAATTAAAAAAAAAAAACTACTACGCCAACGTTTTTGTAACTATAAGCTACAAGTCTCCATGAGGAAAGGCAAGCATCAAAACCGTTTGAATGTTATTCATGGTGTTCTTAAAAAAGTTAATTTCGGTTCTAGCTGTAATAAAGCAGCCACAAACTTGGCACGAAAAGAAGTTCGAAATGATACGGGTGATAAAACAATATACTAAAATATGTAACTTTCGACAGTATTCAGTAGATTTCTTAGAAAGGCCACGCTCACATTGCCGTGTGGGCTACGCGCTGGCCGTACCAATCAAACGCCTCCCTTTCCTCGCCTGACCGCTCTTTCTCTGCGCGCACGTGTGGGCGGGAGCGGGGATAGACATAGGACCGGTCAAACGAGCACGTGACTTCCACCTTACTCTGTCAACTTGGGGGTGGACAAAGTGTACAGTACAAGAGACTCACCTGAAGTGAAGTGACCAGGGCCGAGATGATTTCATAGGCAAGAAAAATGGACCCTTTGTCGGGGCGAAAAGGTGTGACCACGTAGTGCAGCCCCAACAGCGGAAGCAGGATTACAGTGGCCCTCACTGCCTTCCTAAAATAAAGAAATAAAAACAGACAAAAAATTGTAAGATGCTCTCCTCATCAACCTTCAAGTACGTGTATTTGAACCGAAACCACATATAGCGGCGCAAATTTATAAAAAGAATATATATATATATATATTTTCGTATCATTTTTTTAAGTTTCATTGTATATATCGTAATATATAGTATTGTTTATTATTTATTTATTTATGATTTTTATTGATATATTATTTATTCGTTAGCTTATCAGCTTTATTTTATATAATATTTACTAGTTTTATTGTGTATATTTACTAGTTTTATTGTGTATTGTGTCATCGAGTAATTAAATCACAAATGATTTGAAAAAAAAATATGGCTGCAGAAACCACTGTTGTTGTTTCTTTATGAATTGCGACAACATTCGTCTAGGGCAACCTCAAGGACGACGTCTGAGACGACGTCGATGACGACGTCCTAGAGAACGACATCAAAGACAACGTCTAGAACGACCTCTAGGGTGATCTTAAGGACGACCTCTAGGACGACCTCAAGGTCGTCAGGTCCTTCGAAGAGGGTGCGATTGTGAAGGAGTGTGAGAATGTGAGCTGAAATGGTCGACTGCATCTAAAGAATGCTATCACGTTAAAATCGCTACCACAACTACTAAAATACATACACACAAAAAGCTCATCGCTTCATAATAAAAAGCCTAATGAAGAAGTCCGAGCCCTTCCCATTATATAAAAAAGAGGCTTAACCTATAAAAAGAAGCGGCTAGGTGCAGTTCAATAAATAAATAAAGTTATTAATTCTTTAATACCACATGATCACGTGTTCCTCCAAGCGATCGACATTTACATGGCAATTTGTTTAGAAAAAGAAACGTTATTTAAAGAATAAGTAGTTTAGTCTCAAATTATTTCAAAGGTTATAAAAATGATCCTTTTTTATCTAGTACCGTTTTTTTAAACACAATTCACCTAAGAAACTGCGCAACTTGAGAATGTTCAGCCTTTAGCTTACCATTCCAAAGCTTTGTAGTAAAAGTGAACTTAACTTAGAAATAGGCCAAGTATTACCCCAATAAAACGCAGGTGCTCTGAAGAAGTGCTAATGAATTAACGTGAGGCATATAATTTTACTACAATTAACCTAATTATAGTTTATTGTAACGACGTCAATTACATTTATCATTCAGGAAAGCGTTTCGATTTGGATAGTTTATTATGAGCGAGGGAGTTATGTTAATAGTTGTGACGGTAGCCATTATCCGCAGCCAGACATTTCGAAGTGTTATAGCTTCGTTATTTTTATTATCAAATTTACGTGAACCAATGTATTTATTATTCTCACACGTCTGTGTGTTGTGGGCAAGCATGTTTCTAAGATACCAGATTATTTCTATTTAATGATGCATCTCAAATGAGGATCCACATTAAATGTCCAGAAAGGGCAACGCAAACATGCTCGTGTCATATGTGGAATTCAGAAATAGTTTATAAAATATGTTAGTAAAATGCAGCAATATGCCAAAGTTCATATACGCATTGCCATGCAAATTAGTTGGGCAAGCTAAAATACAAAACGTAAATTAAGTTAGTAGAGCAATCTCTAACTAAATAAGTACTTCAAATGGTTTTATAAATATTCTCAGAGCGCTCCAAGCATTTACAGTTAGAGATTGTGTTGATGATTCGCCGAGGAGTTATTTTAGAAATCAAGCGGCTGCAAGGAGATTGACCAATAAGCATTCAGGTCCAAGGTACAAAAAACGAAAACAAAATATAAAGCTAAAACTGACCTAAAATTGACTGGTGGTTTGCAGTGGAGCCAGCTTGAAATCAAGTGTCCTCTAGCAATAAACACGGTATATTTGTCAAACGTAGTTTAACTTCATAAAACAACGTATAAAGACCACCGGTTAATGGTCAACCTCAAGCGGTCTAGCTTATAGATTTGCTGAAGTTTGATTTAAAAAAATTTAATCCAGGGTTTACAAACAAACTCCAATAGAAAATAGAAAGAATACAAAAGCTGGCGTATTAGGCACAGAAGAAATTTGAGAACGTGTGGTGTTTGTGTTTACTAATTTTTAAACGCAAACCCAATCTAAAAATTACAACAAACCACAACAATAATATTTAAAATAAAGCTTTAAAGTACCGGAAGCCTTAGGAACCGCAGCAAAACGATGCATATTAGAATTGAGAAAAAAGTGCTTAAAAGATATTGGTTCAAACTTTGCTTCAAAAACCTGCTGATTTCGTAGTATTTACTCGTCATTTTTATTATTTACACTGAAGAGACATTATGTTACACACACAAAACTTTTTAGTTTGATTTTTGTGAGTATGTTTTTGTTGTCATTGTTCCAATAACTGTTTTCAAATATTTTCACAAAATAATTTATGTTTACCGGCGATTCAATTAACTGAGCCTGACTGGCTGATGTGACAAATTTTGTATCACGTAATTCAGCAATGTACATTCCGATGAAATCAGCCTATTGTTGTAAATATATCTATACTATTTTTCTACGGTTCAGACATGCAGCATGTGAATAGTACTGCTAAGTAGCTGCAAGTTGTTAGCAGTAAAATTGAGCAGCATGACATAATTATCTTGTTGAGTGAGGCTCTGCGGTCAAACCAAAGTTAATAAAACCTCTGAGTGACTTCACGCGCCAAATGTAGCATATATAGACAACCTGAATATGCATGTATGAATCGTAACAATAACTTTTAATTATCTCAATTTGTAATAAACTGGACACACCCGCGAACAGTTTATGTCCAAACTTCGGAAATTTCCGAATTCAATTTTAGCCCCATTTAAATTTAAGAGTCACACACAGATCCAAGGGGGGGGGGGGGGGGGGGCGACGGGGGCGGCGCCCCCCCCCCCCCCCAACCAAAGTCGATCCCTCTCCCTCCCCCCTTCTCGGAGGGCAATTTGACACGGGAGGACCACCCTTGCACAAGAAAAAATGAGAGAACAGTATCCTTAAAAATTTGACACGGGAGGACCACCCTTGCACAAGAAAAAATGAGAGAACAGTATCCTTAAAAATTTTTCCGCCCCTCCCCCCCCCTCCAAAAAAAAAAAAAAAAAAAACACAACGGAGTTTTGGATCCGCCCCTGCGCAGGAGAAGGTAGTAAACGAGACATCAAAATATCTAACTTGTTGGCACCCGTCTATGACATAACTAGAAAAATGCCCCCCCCCCTCCCCATTTTCTTTTCTTTTTAATTGCAAAAATAAACAACGCATTGCCGAACGGTCGTTTTTTGCCCAAATGTAGCTCTTGCGTTTCGAATTAGATGCCAAAGCTTCAAAACTGACCGTTAGCTTATTCAGAAGTTGTAAGGGATTTTTTAAAATTTTAATGAGAAAGCGGCCGACAAGGCTGTCGAATGGCTGCTGAATGGCTCAAGTTACCAAAAACGGGCAAAAACGAGCCCCACTTTGCCAATTAAATTTTTGAAAAAGTACTTATAACTTTTGAGTGATTTTACGGTTCGTTCTGAAACTTTGTCATCTGGTTTCAACCGCCAGTGCGACATTTGGGCAGAAAGTGAACGCTTGGCAAATTGTAAATTATTTATTAAATGAAAAAAAAAAAAAAAAACATTCGGCGCATTTATTTTTTTTTGGGGGGGGGATAGGCTGTAGATATATACGTTGGAAGTTGTGCAGCTAACTATTTTCCCGATTGCACACGATAAAACATTTTTTTCTATATAATATTTCTTTTTCTCAAAAATATGGTGGGCACGTGATGCTGCGAATGCATTTATTTTCAATCGTGTAGTGTAAGCGCAATTGCCAGAACGGTTGAGTAAGCGGACGGCACCACCCACTTTGTCCTCCTCCGTCCACAAATCTAAATGTCGGAACGTGTTTTGTACAGATGCAATAGTCCACAACTTTAATTAGAAAGATTAGATTCGGTTAAGCAGTTACCATAGGAAAGCTTCTGAACGAATGTGTTAAAATATTATAAATATTAAGTAAAGTACTATCTGTTACAGGCTGAGTATTAAGGAGAAGCTCCTCGCATCTATTTCCACCTCAGCAGAGCGAACGCTATGCGGAAAGCAAAGTCGTCTGCTTCTTTTGCAGGAGTTGCGATGACGTCAGAAAGACGCCGAGCTTTGATTGGCTGTGATTGAAGGATAGTGGGTAGACCTCGAGGAAGCTTACTTTGAGGTCTACCCACTACGCTTTCAATCAAAGCCAATCACAGCTCGGCGTCTTTCTGACGTCATCGCAACTCCTGCAAAAGAAGCAGACGATCTTGCGCCCCGCATAGACAGGAGGCGACTTCCCCTGCAGCGTTCGTTTTGCTAAAGTGAAACGAGGTGGGAGGAGCTTCCACTTTACTCTGAACCTGTCACCGACAATAGGTGTAACTATGCTTGGAACTAATCTTATATGACACTAAATCTATTAAAGATAACGACAAATATGCCTGGCCTGAAGAAGTTCTAATGCGCGTTGATTTCCTTATGAGCCGTATAACGTGGAATACACGAATTACTGGCATCCACGAGCAGATATATTTAGCTCCTGGCAAGGTTGTATCACGCCAATAGTAAAAGTGGATTATCTTGGCACAGGCTACAAAAACGTAGTTGAATAAATGTCAGTACACGATGGGTATGCGGAGCGCAAGTTCGTCTGCTTCTTTTGCAGGGGTTGCGATGACGTCAGAACACCAAGCTTTGATTGGCTCTGATTGAAGGATAGAGGGTAGATCTCAAGGCAGCTTGCTTTGAGGTCTACCCACTATCCTTCGCAGTCAGAGCCAATAAGAGCTCGGCGTCTTTCTGACGCCACCGTAACTCCTGCGCACGAAGCAGACGACTCGCACTCTGCATAAGTTTGAACGATCTTTAAGAGACAACTTTAAGAGGTTGGGACCGCTCGGACGGCAACAACAGAAAACGCAAAAAGGCTCAAGAAGACTGAACTTACCTCGTACTTTCATTGTCCGGAGAATTAACGGCCCGGAGCTTTGTGACCAGAACACGGACGATATTTACGAGGAATGCAAAACTCAACTGCAACGAGTAAAAGAAAAGACATATCCTGTCACAAACGAAGAGCATCGCATAATGACAAACTTTGCCTTATGGGTTTGGACCGCTCAAATGTCGTGAGGAGAATTTACCTTGCTCTTTAATATAAAGGGTGATGATATGTGTCTGGGAGACAAACAAAAGCTTACAATGTTTTTGACACCTCAAAAATAAACCACGCGTCGCCGAACATTAAGCTCCCACCCGAATATACCGCTAGCGGCCCGGACAACATACCGAAGTTTCAGAGATGATCGCTATCTAATACAAAATTTATAGGCAATTTTTATAAATTTTCAGGGATCAATACGGGCCTGCTTGCGGTAGCCGACGCCACTCAACTCCATCTCTTAGTGATCTTTGAAGGCCGCGATTTTTTCACAAAACATTTCCGAAAATTGTTTATAACTTTTGAGTAAGATATATCCGTCAGTTTTGTAACTTTGGCCACAAGACCGGACCGCTAGCAATAGCTTTAGCGTTACCTAAACGTCTTCGAATGCAAAAACTCCATTTTGAAAAAAAAAAAAAAAACAACAGAAATTGTAAACGCTATTGCCGGTCACACATAGATGTCTAAAAAGGCAATTTATAATTAAGTTTTGCATACATTTGTCAAACCTATATAACAAAATGCAAATTCACGGAAATAAGGGTAATGGCACAGGCAAGCTGGCGGGCGATCATACTGAAAATTCACAATGGCTATTTATTACAGAAGTGCGCAGAGGCAAATTTCCACCGGCGCATACAGCGCGGTCGCCCAACCTTATCATCCCTCTCCCATCTAAAAACTCCCATCAATTTTTCACGCAAGTATTTTTGAGAACGTAAAAGAACTGAGATAACCGTATACAAAAACCGGCACATAGGCCCTCATCATTGTTATGAGTTCAAAATTTCAATATTATTCAATGAAGCATCATTTATCTTCTGTTTAGTTCTCGGAAGAGCTAGTGTGTTATCGAAAAATCAGAAATCCACTGGTTCCTTACCAAAATTGAAAAGCAAACGGGGACACTGAGTATGTATGTGTACCATACATCGTGCTCAACCCAGCACCTGAAAAGGCAAGGTTTGAACTTGAGAACCAATTGTGAATTTGTCACTGATACCAGAAGTAGGAGAGAACGAACGTTTCTTACATTTTGGACGCTTCCGGGTCCATCCTCCGGGCTACACCATACCCTATGGCAGGGAGGAGCGGAAACCCTGCCAAAAGAAAGGTTAAACATCATAATTTTTTGTAATATACGACAAAAAACGATTGTTACTGTTAGAATCTGGGCCGGCTTGCTAGAAACAGCGTCCCAGCTGAGACTGGAAGCAAGAAAGCGCTGCCAAAGCCAGCGCACGAGCTCTCAAGACGCTAGCGTGCCCCAGCTTTTGCAGTGCTTTCTTTCACCCAGTCTCAGCTGAGACGCTGTTCAAGCAAGCCGGCCCGGGTATTTCTTATTTCGTCAATATAAAAATATTGTCGTGCGTAGCCCCGCTCGAATGCTTCCTTCCATTTAGGCAATTATTAAGGTTTATCTGCTCAGGAACACAGCAAAGCTAACATGCTGCACATTTCGCCACGTTAAAAGGCTGCACATAATTCTGTAGAAGCCGAGTTTTCCTTTTGTCTGTTGGTGACACGGAAGCATAATTATGTTTGGCAAGACGGCGGTTCTGTCGAATTTACAAGAAATGTTCGTTTAACGTTTGCTTCGGAGGTCACAACTTCAGCTCTTCACATCCGCACGAATAATCGCACAATTTGGTTTCTATACATTTCAACACCTTTTCTCCCGGCAACCCTATTTTATTTTATATCTCTCTCAACACCTCGCATGGTTTATAAAACTACGGAAGAAAGTGATGTTTGCGATCGCAGACAGAGAGAGCTGCGCCTTACCCCATCCAATGAGAAGAAACCACTTGAGTATTTTGTCTTCCGCTATGAAAGCCATGACCAGAAGAGTGTGCAGGTAAAGCCCCTCGCAGAACATCCAGAGGTAGTTGCAGAGCAGGAAGTACTGCGTCACCACGTGCAATACCTGGCACCAGTCCTGAATGGAAAACCAATATTGCACAGCGTTCCACAACTTACAACACGGTCTAGACGCGCTCTGCTTTCGCACCATCACGTCTGGTTATTTCCAAAGTAACCTGAACAAAACAATACGACTTTGTGCCCACTTCATAGCTTCATAGCTGTTACCTCTTTTTGTAAAGCACGCTAATAAGGAGAGAAACATTTTGGGTTCCCTCAATGACCGGTGATCGCTTTAAAACGCGACTTATGACTAGTGTAATACTTGTGCTGGTGCCATAAATTACCTTTATGCTAGCTGATATGCTTGGCAGTGCTGCGTGTTTTTAGAGCGCAGCTCTTAGGGGCCCGTTCCCGGCTTGAGCGGCGTCGGCGTCGGCGTAACCAAGGTTACCCCAAGGTCACGCGACCCCCCAAGGTCATCTTGGGGAGGGGTCACGTGACCCCTCCCCAGGGTCACGTGACACCCAAGGTCACGTGACACCCAAAGACACGTGACACACAAAGCCACGTGACACCTCGAGGTCACGTGACCCCCGAGGTCACGTGACCACCCCCAGGGTCACGTGACCCCGGCCGAGGTCACGTGACCTCCCCGATGACGTCATCGGCATCCGCATCGTCATCATCACTAATGACCTCACCGGCATCCGGATCGTCATCATCACTGATGACGTCATCAGTGACGTCACTGATGACGTCACCGGCATCCGCATCGTCATCATCACGGACGACGTCATCAGTCACGTCACTGATGACGTCACCGACATCCACATCGTCATCGTCATCATCGCTGATGACGTCATCGGAGTCCGCATCGTCATCGTCACTGATGACGTCATCAGTGACGTCACTGATGACATTATCGGCATCGTCACGTGACCCCCCCAGGTCACTTCACCCCCCCTCCCCCCCAGTACCCTCCCCTCCTCCTCCTCAAGAGCTGCGCTCTAATTCGGTGTTACAGGGAGTTTTAAACGGCTTTCACTTTTTTTACTTGGTGGTATAATTCAGGTCAATGAGTTTGTAACGCCGAATATTGACAGACTTATGAAAGGCCTTAAAATACGCGTGGAAAACTCCATCGCAGCCAACTGTAAACTCTTAAAGCTTATTGTATTCTCTTAAAATTAATATTACACTTCATATAGTCCACGGAAAGCTTGTTAGCTCCAATGCTTTTTAAATAGTTCTCTTCAAAAAAAAAAAAGCCTGATTGACACAAAAGCTTTTTTATCTCCTCGCTTTCTTGTTGCAATATAATCGGACCGCATTAAGGTCTACAATATTGATTGCATAGCCATTAAAATTTTCTAGATGGGTGCTCAAAATTTAGTAAAGGTAGACTATTCAGGTATACAATTTAAGAATTACCTTATGCTGAATTATGAGAGTTTTTAAAATACGCTCGACTTCGTGTTAGCTTCCAAAAATCCAGTTCAAAGTAGCATGCACTCTTCTGTAGCCCCCACCCCACTTCAATTATGCTACGTAGCATTTCAATAAAATAAAGTACCAGTCTTACCGGATTCTCTTCGATAACATGGGGCTGTGCAATGACATGAATGTACCACAATATCCAACATAGGTTATTGATTATGAACGATGTGAAGAGGTTTTTGTGAATGGTGATCCGTCGACAACGCAGGGACCTGCGGAAAAATAGGGCAACAAGCTTTACAAAGGTAAATGTAAAAAAAAAAAGAAGCTCACAGGATTTAACTTTCAGAACCACTAGTGCTTTCTGGATAGCAAATATGTGTATGCGCAGCGTCTTTGGTTTAGTCTAAACTTGTTTAAACGATTGCACACACCATGTTAAACTAAACTTAGAAAAACTGCGGGCATTCGTAAAATGTAACTTGATCAGTTTGCATTTATGGAGTTTCATCTCACAGCACGTTTCCTATTGGTGTATAAAGGCAAATATTCAAAGGATCGGATAAACATGATAAATACACGGCGATTATATATAAAAGAATTCAAGCCTGAGTTTTTTTTAATTTTATGAGCAAATTTTTTCGCAGTAAGAAAAAATCAGCCTTATATATTGTAAACAGTATAAAACCATATAGTTATGCTAAAATCTATTTACATTGTTCGCGAGCATATAAGATGCGAATCGAAACTTTCTTGGTCGAAATATTTTGCACTGCCTAATTGATAGATTTAAGTATAACCTGATGCATATTTGTAAAGTAGAATACGGGCACAAATTACAAAGAATTAGCCTTGTTATAGAACTGATGGTTGAGAAAGTGTGTACTCACCTAAAGTAGAAGAATATAAACAAGGAGAGCAGAAGAGCAACAAGTGATATCGAGTATCCACCCACGTACAGAGAGTTCACCAGATTTCTGAACTGAAACGAAACAAGACACAACAAAATACAATTTTTCTGAGGAAATTGGACACTTGTAGTGATTCAAAAACAAATCTACGAATTCGGCTACGTAACTTCAGCCTAGAACTTGGATGCATAACAAAACCTAGCGGAGCGCGAGTTCATAGCTCTGGAGACGACTTTCACTGCACGTGTAGTCAAACCGTTACCCTTAAAACTGAAACGACGATCACATAATTACCAGAATAAAAGTATGTGTATATTGTTTTTGTTTTTGGAGTGCAAAACAATCTAAGGCAAAAAAGAACGTAAATAATTTCGGAGTGAATATATATATATATATTATCATTACCTCTTAGATAAAGAATACACGCCGTAGTGCAAAGGAATAAAGTAACACGAGGCTTCATATAGAGAAGCAATATTTAAATAAACAGTCATAGACGAAAACACAATGAATCCAGACGAGGAACCGCTACAAAGCCACGTCGTTTTCGCGGTGATCAATTCAATGGAGTTTGGAAGAACGGCGGTGCATGCTGGCGTTTCGTGTCTAGAGACAACAAAGGAGACAAGTTTCTATAGACTCCATGGACTACATTTCTTCTGGTGTTTAATGAGCTGCCGAACCGACGGTATTAGAAACGGGATATAAAAGAAAGTTCAACGAGCAATGGAGAAGAAAGACGGAAGTCGAGAAAGTGGAGGAGCGAGAGAGAAACAGATTAAAAGGGAGAAGAAAGAGGAGCGGGATTAAGACTAAAGAATCTCTTTTCATATAACGTGACCCAAACTTTTTCAAAAGGGGGTTTCCGAACACGGAGAAAGTTAGAGATGTTGGGACGCTAATGAATGAGATGTTCGGCGCAAGCCTCTTCGAGTTACGCTAGTAATTAAAACTTCTAACAAAGGAGTCCCGCGGAATTTCAGCTCACACAATCGGAATAGGTCTAGCGCAGAAAGAAAATGGGAACTTGTTTACGTCCTGCCCGTGATTCAATTTACCAAAGTACTCGGATTTTACAACCTGCTCTACCTTTTGTGGCACACCGAGGAAAATTGCCGTAAAAACGCAGCATAAAAAAAAAAAAAAACTAATGTGAATTTATTTTTGACGCCGTGGCATAGGTTGCTATGGCGAAAGATTTCATTGTGTCTTTCTCAGAAACAATTTTTCAGTGCGGTGTTTGGACGGCCCAATGAGCAAGTGAGCCGTAAGGAACACAAGGTGGAGACACCCGTTTTTCCCCTATTAAAGGGAATTTGTTTCAGTGCCTGTGACATTGCACCGTGGTAATTGTCGACTCGTCGATTATGGTCGATAGCGTGTTACATCTTGGTTAGGCACACATTTGATTTTCTTCAGCCGCGATTAATAGAAAACAAAAATGAAGTCTTGTCCTTACTTGAAGGTTTGTGAATCTGTTGTTTGCGTGGGCAGTGGCGTTGTACCTTTATTGAGTATGCTCTGTATGCACGCAAACTCTAGTAGGAAATTAGAATGCGAGGCTTGGAGCTTTGTAGCTGATAACCCTTTGTTTGTCATCGAATTTATGGCACAAGAAACAAAAGGACACTTGTCATCGATCAAAAAGCATGCTTGACTAATGGGAGAAACCTTTTAATGCGAGCGCAAATGCCACACCTTTTAGATTTAGAACAAAAAATATATCAACGTTTGTAGTGAAGTTTTTAGTATTAGCAATCAAGAAGGCGCACGTATCTGAATTCAACCGTGTCCGCGTTGTGTCTGAAATAGAAAGGCCACTAGACATAGTCTGTATGAGAAAATAAATATATTCAACCAAACAAAATTGCGTTTGAATGTTTATGAAATATGCATAATCTTTTTCTTTTACCTTCTCCATAACATTTTAATGTCCGCAAGGCGGTAACATAAAGCTAAATTTTTTTGTGACCAGAAAACAAACCAATCGACTGGATAAATAAAAAAATACGCTCAAAATCGATTTCTAAATAAAAACAAATATACGTTATGCAAAGCTCATGTCCTTGTGCATTTGTGCGACGAAACACTGCGTGAGACGAGGAAACGACTGCAAAAATTATTAATGATAGCCTACGTCCTTCACAAACTTCAAAGCGGCACCTTAAAAGTGACAAGATATTCACATTTAAAATGAAGTTTTTTTATCGCCTAAAATTATAGATTTTTTTTCCTTCGAAATTTGAGTAAATTTCCAACCTGCAAATCATGGGTGTCGACACAGGCAGTATAGTTGGACCAGATGTGTTTTGTGACTGGATGACGAAACCAGGTGCCATCCAAATTGCAGTATTTGTGAGCTTGCCCTGAAAACAAAAAGAAAGGTGCATTAACGTTACTCACTCCCACCAAAGAAAGAAGCAGCAAGAACAAGTAAGGAGGCAACGTAAGAGGCTTAAATTGATCTAGTTGGCTCATTGTTCCTGTTAATATGAACACCTTGAAAAAATTAAACGAATACACGAAACTATGAAATGAACGAAGACACCGCTGACTAGCCCTACAATAAAAGAAACTTCGGGAGTACGTGTCGGCATCCGCTTCATCACCACCAAAAAAAGAACTGCAGTTGCGGTGTACCACGTCACGGTGATTTAAAATGCGAGTGTTTACTGGGTCACGTGAAGAATAACAGGTTCTATGTGTATATATAAGGATGACATTTTATATAAAGAAAAAGTGCTAACCGCTGTGTCTTCGTCCATTTTTTACCATTGTGTATTTGACTAGAATGTTCAAGCTGTCCATACATGTTCACAAACGGCGATGCAAGCTCGAAATGCACGCGTCCAGCCTTGCTGACAGGTTAGATAGTTGTGAGTAAATAAATAGTTTTTTCGGCCTCCCTAATTTTGAAAGAAAAAACACTTCTTGACTAAACGGAAGAAATCGGCGACCTTTCGGATAATTATGAAATGCTTGGAACGCATTTCAAAATCATAACTGTTTTAATATTTTAAAGATCAAGCATACGTTTGCTCTGAGTTCGAAACTCACGCGAAGAAAGAAATCCGGCGACGAACTGTGGACAAGGTGCGTAGACCGTGTGACCTGGAAGTGTGTCGTCCCAGCAGCTCCAGCCGTCCCAAGTTCGTGGGCAGACGGTCTCGTTGCCCTCTGATGGAAAAAAGCGGTAGAACTAAGTGTTACTTGACTGTGTCCGAATGACGCTGATCCTGTCGGACGCTTGAGAAACTCAGATAACGGTATTTTGTCTCACTTATTTTTAAAACAAGGTTTAATTTTCATTGGTGAGAATGGCAAAACTAAACACGTCACAAAGAGAGCAGCGGAGGCCAATGGTACGTTTCCTATTATCTCCGTTTCCGGCACAACGTAAGCCAACTTCTTGGCAAAAACAAAGCTTAAATTTATTTGCTGGTAATCGTTATCACATGCTAAGAGTGCAGTACGCACTCACCAGAAAATTGTGTGCTTAACAACAGCTTTGTATAAAGATTAGGTATTATGGCAAAAAGCTTTCCCATACCTAGTAGATGGGCTATCTGATTAGAACTCAGTATATAAAGAGGAACACGAGGAGGCCCTTCGCTAAACATGTTTGCTTTTCCTAATTTGGTAACTCTCAAGGCAACACTCAGAATTCCGCATCTAATACTCAAATAGTCAGATGCCGAAAGTATCTGGAGGTGCATCAGAAATCGCGCTCACGGAATCAATCCACACACACAAAAGAACAAAAAAAGAAGATATAACTGACAGATTTCGAGTCAATATGGTTAGGAATCGCCGTCATGAGATTGCAGCAACATTATAAACATAATATGAGCGTCCCAACTTCAATAAACACTCCGCGTTATCTATATCCTGCGTATCGTGTGCGTGTCACTCAGTCAACAAAAGAACGCCAAATGAGCCGTGCCGCAGCCATCGCTCCAAGGATGCGGCGACAGACGGCGCTGACACTGCTAGGCGTGGCAGACGTCGCACTGCATCACGCCCTTGCGTAAGCATTGGAGTGTAACTCAATATAAAGCTGCTAGTGTTTCCCAGATTGACATACACATCCTCAGAAATGAGAATGCGGCCGACCTCAAACAAGATATCACAGGTTTCTGACACGTAGACATTCACGCGCAAACAAAACCCAACCACCTTAATTCTTTCTGACATAGTTTATGGATATTTCTGTTATTACTCAGAACTGATTAATCATCCTGTGAAGGTTGCGATCGACGATCCCTGCATAAAATTCAGGATTGTGCTCTTCGACACGAAAGCACAAAACCAGGCTCGACCATTGGAGTTTCGGTTACCGAGTAGAGGTGGCGGCCGCAGCAGGACGTCCTCGAGGCAGTTCTTGAACTGGTTGATCTTCTCCTGCCACTGCCAGTTCTCGCCCCGTAAGGAGCTTTGTTCCCAGGGAACGAAATCCCCGATGTCCTGCGTGATGGCCTCCAGTAGCTTGAGCTCTGGGTCCTAATCAGAGACAACATGCGTAAGGTGAATTTAAATGGAAACCATGCGTGATGTTCGTTAACTTCACGTTTTTTTGTTGTTTTTTTTTTGTTCTAGGAAAGCAAAGTTCAGGCACTATATTGTAGTCAGCCTGTTGTACGTTTCAACGTACTTCCAGAGTTGCTGCTGCAGGTCGGCGATGTTTATACTCTATTTCACCTTATGATGTACCGCAGGAAAGGCTACAAGCGCGGGCTCCTTGCTCTAGGGTACATCTCGGCGGCACAAGCTCTCGTGGATTAAGGGCAGGTGCCAACGCTATGAGCTCGCACTTCCAGCCTTTGCCGCGGTATAACATAAGGTGAAACGGAGCATACCCACTGTTGTTACAACTTTGTTAGGGAATATCCCTTCACCTATTATATTATGCTTGCTGAGTTCTCACTTTTAACAGTAAATCCTTCTTTTTTTCCCCCTAAAACTGTATTTTGGCAATGTTTAAGGACTAACTTTGCTTGATAAGTATGCCCGAGAGGGAACAAAATGCCCTAGTAACATTAAGGTCACTTTTTTTCTAACGGGACATAGGAGCTCTAATTTGATATTCGTCAAGAAGATGGGAGAGATCGACGACCACCGCAATAGACTACTTCCATAAAGCCCTGCATGCAACACGGCGCGCGTTGCACTCTGGGAACTAGTTGGCCAGAAAGGAGGCTGGCATGGTTTCGGTTTCGATAGACACGTCGCCAAGAGATTGTTTTTTGATCCCAAGAGCGTCATTTGTGGTCTCTAAACTAACCTAAATGGCCAGACCTCGAACCTTTAGCACAAGCCCGAGACGTATAGCTTGTCTTAACACATGCTTGTTGTATTCTTGTACTTGAGCCTTCCTGTTAGCGTTCCAATCGAGGAATGTGGACGAGCCAGTGCTGGGAATCTCGACGCTGCGAAGCTCGGGGATCTTGCTTGTGTACGAATCAACAAGCTGTAGCAACCAATAAGTATGCATACATCGAGCTCGCGTCTTTACATTAGTGTTGTTGATCAGGAAGTTTGTTTCGTGCGTCCATACACGAAATATTACTTTTTGCTATTACTGTTTTTCTTAATATGCCTGAGTATGCGAGGTAAAACTCGGAGGCGCCATTGAAAAGCTAAATTTTAGCACACTTCTTATCTCTTATCTGAACAGACCCGCAGCATTGCGCGAAGTGAAGTTCCCACCCGCTTGCATTCCACTAATATTCAACATCGCGTATGCGCATAAAGTTATCCTGCAATCATATAGGAAAATTCGCACATACAGACCGTTTTAAGAAAGAAAAAGTCGAGCACTTCTGTGAAGAATGTCGCACCGTTCGCCGGAAGTGCGCCGGACGGGCATGAACCCCTATGCGCACCGCATAGGGGTTCATGCCCGTCCGGCGCAGGGTGCGACATTCTTCACACAAGCGCTCGAACGAATTCAAAGCGCGTTTGACGGTTGCTAATGGCCATAATATTTGTTATTTGTTTGCTTTCTTGCTGCCTGAGTATGCCGAGATAATTTCAGACACCGTTCAGGCACAGATCTTGGGCGTCAGTAAAAGCTCGTCCAAAAAGGCTTAGCGAGGAGTAGGGGACGCTTGTTAGGGGCTCCGTCGTAGCTAGCCGATCTCAGCGTTTGCGAAAAGTTAATCTTCTATCAGCATAAAATTTGAGTGTGAGATAGGTGATGACACGAGGAAGACATCATAGTAACTTTTGTGCAGTAGTGTAGTCGAATTTATTGCGTTTCCTTAAAAGTTCATGCGTAAACGCTGGGCTCAACTTTGATACCCTGTGAGGATGCGGCTTGCTTTTCGCCCAATGAAGTAACAAAAAGCGAACGTTTGGAAAACAAATACGTGTAATGTTCTAGATGAACAAATCTCAGTTCTAGTTCACTGGTACTAGACGGGATTATTGAAATTGAGCTCAAACATGCACTCGTGGGGTGAGGTGACTAAGCCACGACCTACTACGTTCGCATACGGACGTACAATATCCGGTGTTTCGGGAACTAAGGAAAGTGCCCCGGTCTTCGTATTGTATCGCTCGAAAATGAGTGCATTGTACGTTCGTGAAAAGTCAGATAATTGGAAACGCAAGCAGCGCGTTCGGTCGCAGCGTGATAGCATGAGATGAAGCTGCTCAGTCGAAACCGAAACTGAGTGGCCAACTAGTTCCCAGAATGCACTCCGTGGTATTTCGCCGCAATGGGGCGCGTCGGTTTTAGGAACAACTCCATTGCCTAGCGCCGTGCTTGACCGTGGCGCTGGCCAATAGCTGCGTGATGCTGGCCAATGGCTGCGCGGCGCTGACCAATCGAGGTGGTCGGTGATCTCGCCGACTTTCTCGCCGACTTTCCCAACGAGCGTCCAATTTAGATCCCCAGGACGTTTGCTTCTGCGGCAATACGCGAGAGAAAAGTAAGGCTGGACGAATAGTGGGTCAAATTGAATAGCGATGTGACATGAGCACACTTCACAGTACTAGGGAGACTTAGACATACCGGATATCTTTGTAGTGGTAAATTTAAAAATGATGCTGCGCTGCTCTCTTACAAGCAACATTTGCGAATTCCCAGCGAGAAAGCAGCAGTGTGTGAATGTTGCTTCGAATCGGAAAGCACTGCGTCATCCCTAGCTTCAACAATGCAAGGAAAGCCACCACACAGTTACTTTCCTTTGCACTGTGAATTGGCTATGAGTGAGGTAGCGCCATTCGAACCAAACCAATATTGGTACGTTCTTAGAGAAAAGTCAAGCAAGTAAGCTGAAAACAAACAAATATAGATTAATAAAAACATCAGCTCACGTCATACGGCGACGTTGTGCACGAAGCGTAGTTGCCCGTCTCCCCATCCCAAGACCCGTTCCAAAGGCAGTGGTAGGTCGCTGTAGCTGCAGGAAAAGAAACAAAAAACACAAGCAAACATGGAAACACGTTCAGACCAACGAGTAAACCGCCACCAAGCAATGTTATATAAAAACGGAAACAATATTAAAATGCACTAATATAACTTCGACTAACTGAACAGAAGAGTTCACATGTGAGTCTTTATCCACGCTGAGTGGAACACAGTATATAACTTTCTCGGGCCAGATCATGCCAATTCGAAATGAAATATTAATAATAACCTTAACGTTGACGCTACCGTTAAATTCTACGTCACTAGTCACGCCAAAAAATATTCTACGCTATAAAAACCTTGTGCGTTACATTCCTTGTAAAACGCTCAGATATCCGATCGTTACAGATCTGTAAAGATGCTCGTAGGGACAGTGAGCGAATGAAAGTTCGTGCTCCCCGAGACAATGCACATCGCGTTTTTTTTTTTGTAAGTTTGGTGGTTTTTTGTGTTTTCTCGTTCGCTATGACTTTGTCAGTGTTCGCAGTGATTGGTTGCCCACGTGTTTCTTTTATCCGGAAGTTGAATGTGCAGCCACTTTTTTTTTAGAGAGTAAGGGTGTAAGAGTGTAGGCTTCTGCGGCACATGACTAGGGTTGCATTTTTTAGAGTGCAGTGGGGGGGGGGGGGGGGGGGGGGGGGGGAGACCGCGTCACTTAAAGCCCTGTTATAGTCCGACGTTAGGCGCAGCAAACGCGGCCTAGCGCAGCGCACGCAGATGCTGATTGGTCGCAGATATCGAGCTCCTCGCCGACCAATAAAACGCGCGCGCTGCGTTCGCTGCGCTCAACAATGGGAGAGCCTTTAGACCAGTGTTCTGAGCCTTAAACGTAGGAATAATATAAAACTCACGGTGACGAGCAGTAGCCGAATCGCGAAGTCAGCCACTATACTGAAGCGTGCTTTACATAATTATCGCGCACATTTCTACAGACGAGAAATAACTAAAGCCGAATGACAATGCGTGGTCTGATCGACGAACGTTCGTTGCTCTTATGTGTACTTGACTTCAGATACTATCGAAGCTATTGCTACCGAAAGTTTAAAAAACGCGAGGTGCGGCTTTATCTGTAGACGTCACCTGCTTCGTGACTGGTTAACAGCACGACCCTTCTTTTTCGGTACTTGAAGATTGTTACGCAAAAGTTCTAAAATGTGTGACACCTCGTTGATAAATTGCTCGTAAGTTAAGACATTTTTTTTATTCATTTGCAAGAAAATTGCAGGGACAGGTTAGTCCACGGTGATACGATAGCGAGGTTTAGAATAACGTACCCAACAGCTCTGTGAACGTAAAAAAAATGGCGCCCTCTCCGCGCGCCATTTGCAAACATGGTTTGGGCTCGGCGCATATACGCGGTTGCGACCACGCTATTTCTTGATGTACGCAAAGCGTTTAGGTAGCCTACTCTAACACTTCTTAATGCTTAGCAACAACTACCTGAAGTCGGTGATATGTAAAGAGTTCAGTGGAAGCTCCCCCCCCCCCCCTTCCTTCTTTACACTCTAGCAGAGCGAACGCTGGGGGACCTTGTCTCCAGCGTTCGTTCCGCTAAAGCGGAAAGGGGTGGGAGGAGCTTTCACTGAACTGTTGACCTGTCAACGACGATAAGTGCCTCCCCCTCCCTGCCCCCCCCCCCCGCCCCCGGCAAAAAAAAAAGAAAGGAAGAAAAATGCATTTAGACTGACCAGAAGAATTGACATTTCCCGGCAAGAGGCCAGGACACGGTGCTCGAGCGGTGCCTCCCAGCGGAGTCGGAGCCCAGCACTGCCAGCCGTCGAACCTCCAGTCACACACGGCTGCCGAAGAAGTAAGGACACAAAAACCCAGCATAAAACATCAGCTCAAGCTTCCTCGCACAATGCTCCTCCTCCCATTCCATTCCATTCGAGTGTGAGGTTCGTTTTTAGAGCGCAGCTCTTAGGGGCCCGTTCCCGGCTTGAGCGGCGTCGCCGTCGGCGTCGGCGTCGCCGTCGGCGTCGCCGTCGCCGTCGCCGTCGGCGTCGGCGTAACCAAGGTCATCCCAAGGTCACGTGACCCCCCAAGGTCACGTGACCCCTCCCAAGGTCATCTCAAGGTCACGTGACCCCACGTGACCCCCTGAAGGTCACGTGACCCCTCGAGGTCACGTGACCCCTTCCAAGGTCATCTCAAGGTCACGTGACCCCAACATGACCCCACGTGACCCTTTGAAGGTCACGTGACCCCCAAGTCACGTGACCCCTCTGAGGTCACGTGACCCCCGAGGTCACATGGTCGCCTCCCCAAGGTCACGTGACCCCCGAGGTCACGTGACCCCCAAGGTCACGTGACCCCTTCCAAGGTCATCTCAAGGTCACGTGACCCCACGTGACCCCCAGGTCACGTGACCCTCTGAGGTCACGTGACCCCTCTGAGGTCACGTGACCCCCAAGGTCACGTGGGGGTCACCTTTGGGGTCACGTGGCCTTGAGGTCACCCCCAGGTCACGCCTCCCCGAGGTCACGTGACCCCCTCCCCGAAGTCACGTGACACCCCCCCCGGAGCATATTAAAGAATGAGGGGAGGAGGAGGAGAAGGGGGAGGGGTCTACCCTCCCCTCAGTACCCTTCACTCCTCCTCCTCAAGAGCTGCGCTCCAATTCGGCGTTACAGGGATTTGTAAACGGCTTCCACTTTTTTGGCTTCGAGGACGTGTGGCTCGCATTACGTACAAGGAAGTATGTATCCTCTCCAAGAAGCACGTCTTACGATGCACGAAGAATGTGCCGAAAGCCATAGGGCGAAAACTTCTATACTAAAAGTAGAAACCTGATATGCTATATAGGTCCGCCTCCATTATTCGTTTTTTCAACAACATCTACGGTGTCGTTTTGATGGGCGTATTTTGATAGGATTCGAGTTTCGTGCCACTGTAAGAGTTCCAAAGGTCGGTCCGTCGGGGTCTATTCAGAAAGTTATTGTTTTGTTTTAGCAGTAGGGAGGCACAGAACACAATACTTGGCACACTATATAAAAACACACGCGTCTTGTATAAGTAGCGCAGGTCTATAGCCCTGTCTCGCTTTTTATCACGGATACGCGGCTCCAGCTTTCTCTACGATTCGAATCTGAGGAGGAAACTCGAATCATTCCACATGGACCTTCAGAGACTTGGTGCTGGTCTCGAAACTTTGGCCAAAGTTTGGTACATGGTCAAACACTGCCACCAGAGGCTGAACTGTTTTAGAGAAGGAATTTTTCGTTTGGCTCTAGATATATATAGCGTCAGGAATTGGGATGATAAGCGATATCGCTCTGCTTTGTCGCGGACTGTTGTAACATTTCCGGAGGACAAGCCGACCGTTTCCTGCGGTCCAAGTAAAACTTCGGATAACTGACAACAATAATTTTAAGTACCAAAATAGTTAAAGTGTCGTTACTCTAAGGCGTAGCTCGTTGATAAGCCGTAGATTTTCAGGTGTTAATTTACGAGGAAAATTGGCGGATGTTTTTTCGGCGTTTATGTAGTGTTAAGATATCGCAGTATTTCGGTGATGTGCTTGGGGGGGACGCTAAAAACGGCGAATATCGGTGAAGGATGCTCTATTTATGATATTGGTTGCAGCCTTTGTCTTCAAAGTCCTGCAATGCATGAAACGTTGGAGCAACAGCCTCTGGGATTATCTATAGGAGGTGTTGTTAGGAGGGAGCGGGGGATGAGGAGAAAAAAAAAGAGGAAAAGGCAGGAAGGGATGGGGTGGAAAAACTAGTATGTCACGTGCCCCCCCTAAATTTAGCGGGGAAACTGAATGGTCGAATAGGTCACGTGACGTAAAGTCACGTGACGTTGATTTCCCCCGCCAAATTTAGCGGAAAAACTGGATTGGTGGTCAGGTCACAAGACGTGAATCTCCACGCTAAATTTAGCTGGTAAATGAATTGGTGTGTAGGTCGCCTGACATCAATTCCCCGCTAAATTTAGCGAGGAAACTGAGTTGACGTATAGGTCAGGTGCCGTCAATTTCCCCAAGGTCACGTGACGTCACTCTCTTCTCCTAAATTTAGCGGAATGTGCACGGACGAACAGACGGACGCACGGAGAGACGCAAAACATTTTGGGAAGGGGGGGGAGCGTTATAAAGCGCTCCATGCTTTAAAAACTACGAAGTTTAGTCTGCGGGGGAAAGGGTTTCAACAAAAAACAATCCTAGAATTGTAAAAAAAAGGTTTTTAGAAACACATGTTCTTAGTTTCAACCCATTTCGGATTTTTGACACCGACGGGTGTTTATCGGTGTTTTGTTTCTAGGTTTTTAATCGATTTTAAATTCTTGCAACCAAAATAGGCTCATCGATGTTTTTAGGGTCAAAAACAGAAAAGATTACGGCCTACTAACTAGTGACCCTATAAGGGGGACGACTAGGAAGCTTTGCGCGCCACTGTGTATAGCATGCAAACGACCATTTCCTCACAAGGCAAATTCCAAAAACAAAAAAAAAAAAAAGCGAAACGAAAGTAATAGCTGATCCGCCACGTCGTCACCATTCCCTCGACGCCGCGTGAGGCGTATCCGAACGTTCCATATCCAGAGACACGTGCGAGAGTGGGAAAAGCTTCGCTGGATACAAAGCACTTCCCCATGCGAAGAGGGATTCGCGCTCAGAATTCGGTTTAAGGTGAGTGCGTCGGCGGGAGGTCCAAATGAATCTAGGGAAGGAGGAACGAACGAGGCCAGTATTGAAATGAACCAGCGCACTTCGGATGCGCCGCACGTAGAGAGAGATGAATTCGTCCGAGGCAACTGTTTCTGGAACCACGGGAAAGCAAATTTCCGAGCCTGATAGCATTCATCGAGGTCCTACTGTGCTCGGTTTCACTATTTTCCGGACTCGGAGCGAAAAGAAAAGTTTTTCTTTTCTCTCTCTCTCGGTTACACCTTGAAGGGAACCGTGCTAAATATACACCAATTCACAGACGAGCTTCTGTCCTGTGCCATTTTCAGCGTTCGTGGGGAAACTCTATAGAACGTTTTACACCACGAAGGATGTAAAAACTTAAAGGCAGTTCTAGAGACTCACACCAATGGCTGCACCAGTCTAGCACCTTAATTTTGGGTTGTGCACCCCACTTTATTCGTGAAATAGGGCGCTGTTACGTGGAACATCAACTTTTGAAGCGTTTAAGAAGAACGTAGAAAAGGGTGCTATGGTGAAGTGAGGCGAACGCCCGTTTTCAAGGGTGTTTCGCAGCATTAACACCTGCTTCCAACAGCGATGGCGGAGGTGGTTTTAGCGACTATGTCAAATAATTATTGCTTGTACCAGTGCTCTATAGTTGGAGATGTATTCCCTGAACTTAGATATATTGTGCCTTACGGGAATAATTGACAAGAACAAAGCAACATACCTGTTGCCTTCCTAATTGCGGAAAGATCCACTGGCGCATGAGAGTCTTTGTATTGCGGATTATATAAGGTGGTGGAACAGTCCCATAGGGTCGTGATTCCTCTCTCGTGCGATATTCATTGTGACTGTATCTTCTTTTCCTGTGCATGTGAGTACTGTATGTGGCACTTGTTGCTCATAAACTTCTTGAGTCGCGAAAGGTATCCCCAGGAGGCTGCTAAGACCGAGAGCATCCTATTTTGATGGTGTCCGCCATCATCCTAAGTGTGTTACTGTGACACCCTTAGAGTTTTAGCCATGGAGCACGTTGATTTACACCCTTAAGGGTGTAAAATGTTTATGTGTACGGCGCATACTTTGCTCGCTTTCCGAAGCGACGAACGTAGGCGTACTGGGGCTGTGATTAGCACGTGTTTGGCTGTGATTTTGTGAGCATTAAAACGGGGTGTAAACAAATTTCTGCAAAAAATACGTGATGTGAACGCGAGGTGTGACTGTGATCCGGTGTTCTCAAAAGCAGTCACCGGCCAAGAAGTTGCTACGTGGTGAGAGTCATCGTCTCGCTTATTTGACAATACCTAAACAACTTTTTTAACAATCAGTTTCTGAAGGGTGTACGCCTACGGGAGCGCATTCATGCACTCTCAGAAAAAAGAAAAGAAAAAACATATTCTTACACCCCTTGTCCCATATAAGACACCCCAAAACTTCAGTGCGACGTACAGCGAGCTGACCTCGAACCGACGGCACCAACGTTCTCAAGCGACTTGATTGCCGAGTGGTACAACTTATTAAAATAGATAATGTACGTGTGACTGACTGCAAAAAAGGCTCCAATCCATGCTGCGAAGGTGGTTGGCCAGCGAAGCTGTGGTATCACCTGCAACGATTGCACACTGCACTATACACCAGTTTTATAGTAAAGGCCACCAGGTGGTGCACCTTAGCACCGCTGCTTGAAATGTAGATGAAAAGTTTAATCACCAGTTCTCCAAGTGAACGCCGAAAGAACGAAGGAGTGCGAGATACGTTGAAATGTTTCGAGTATTCTTAAAACCAGCTTGCCTCCTCCAAGATGTAACATTGCACAGCCGAAAGTCCTCGTTAAATTTAGAACTTTGTTGTCCGTATAATATTTATGCTTTCTATAGCACTGGTGACACAAGCAAGCTCAACAGGTTTCCAAAGACGGTGCGACCGCAAGTCGCTTGGGACGCAAGCGGCAGTTTGTGTTTGTAAACAGCAAAAGGGTCTATACCAAATGAATGACAAAAAAAAAAAAGTAAATGCACCGTACCAAAACGTTTTTATACGTGAAAGACTTCGTAAGGTGCAGTGGCCACGGCAGCTTATGAAACCGCAATCTTTACCGAGAAACGCATGCGGGGAGCGCTACGTGCTTCGCATTGTTAGCGGGGCTAGTGACGTCACTCC